CAAACTCCCAATGATCCTCCTGCCTCAGCCTCCTGAGTGCTGGGATCACAGGCGTGCACCACCACATCCAGCTCAAATTTCAATATCACATGGTTTCTCATATATGAGAAACCCAAAGCAGAAGTAATTTTAAAAACAGTAAAAGTCATACAGTAGGAAATAGAGGGAGCTTCTGCACAGGGCAAGGGGGTCTGCAGGCGGCGGGAGGGGCAGGGAAAGTAGAAAAGAAAAGGCTCAAGGGATTGAGTAAAAAATTGAAAAAAGAAACGTGTGCTGTTCAACCCCACACTACTGACGGTGTTTCGTGCCTGCAGCCTGAGCCGACTGGGATGTTGCGATATTAACCGTAATTATGCCACCTGTCACCCTTGAGCACAAGCAGAGAACTCTCCAGGACCTCCTGTCTGGCTTTTTTTGCAACTTCCTGTGCAGCTATAATTATTTCAAAATACAACATTGGTTTTTTTTTTTTTTTTTCAAGCAGAAATAAAAAACAAAAGGTACCTTGGGGGTTCAGGAGGACAGAGGCCCAAGCCAGCCGAGTCCATGCCTGCAGCTGCCTGGCGGAGGTGGCCCCCGTGGTGGCCTGGGACGGGGGCCCTGGGAACCCACACTTCTGTGTCACACCTGTGACATCCGGAAACCTGGAGAGTCCTTCTCAGCCAAGAGCCGTGCTCCCAGCAGGTGGGGTGAGTGTAGGGGCCCCTCTGCACCCCCTTCCTACTGAGCTACATCTGCACCACCCCCCTTTCATTTTGAGATAGAGTCTTGCTAAGTTGTCCAGGCTGTGCTCAAACTTGCAGTCCTCCTGCCTCAGCCTCCCAGAGTGCTGGGATGACCAGTGTGCGCTGCCCTGCTTAGCTACACCAAAACTTCTTGCTCTTGTCTCACTGTAGCACAGCCCCCTGGTCAGTCTGTCCCCACCTCCCCTGCCTTCTGGGCCGGCCCCCACACGAGCCACCGTTCAACTCTTCGCTTCTCCATGAGGTCAAGCGTGCATGTTCTCCGCACTGGTAGGAGTGCGATCCGTCAGTGGCCGTCTTTCTGTGCCTGGGTTATTGCACTCAGCACACTGTCTGCCAGTTCCACTCAGGTTATTGCAAGTGAGAGGGTTCCGTTCCTTTTTATGGCTGAATAGTACTCCATCGAGTTTATGTGCAGTGTACTCTTCATCCATTTAGCCACTGATGGCCACTTAGGAGAAGGACGCAGCCCCTGGTCTTTGCACAGTACCCAAGGAGGGATCATGTGTTAATTATTTGGAAAAAAATAAATCTTATCCCTGCTCCCAGCAGACAGCAGAACACACTCCCGAGGCGCAGGCGGTGTGAGCAGGGGACCCAGCTTCCTGGACTGACCTCTCTGTCCCTCCCCACTCTGCAGGGATGTCTGTCAGCGTGGGTGGTGTCCTAGGACCTAGCAGGGCAGGCGATGGGGGGATACAGGGGCTCTTGGGGTCCATGGTTCCCCAGACCCAGGTGCTCTCAAATGGAGGCTGACTCCACCCCCAGGGAGCCTGGGTGGTACCTGGGGACATCTGTGGCTGTCACCCTGGGAAGCTCTTTGCATGGAGCGGCCGAAGGCAGGAACGCTGCTCAGCCCCTGCAGCGCCGAGGTCACCCACGAGCCCGCCGGCCCCAGAGTCCCCAGTGCAGCGTGGAGAGACCCGGGCAGGGCGGGTCCACCTGAGCAGGCGCTGGGGGCGGAGCCTCGGAGAAGGTGGAACTGGGTTCCGCGCATGCCCGCGCCCGCTGGGGCCCCGGGAGAGCCTGAGGCCCCAGCTCGCCCTTCTCTCCTGCAGCGACTGGCAGTGCGCCCCTCCCGCTGCTCCCTCTGTGAGCCCCCGAGACAGCGCAGGCCCAGGTTGGCGGCCCTCTGCACCTGGCTGTTAGCGGGGCGCCTGTGACCCCTCCTCCCCGCCTTTCCAGGGCGTGTCAGACCTGCCGGCTGCGGGGTGGGGGTGGGGGTGGGGGTCTTTCCCAGGCTCGGCAGCGCCGCCCCTGCAGCTGGGATTCTCATCAAGGAGGTCGCAGAGGAGGGGCTCTCTGTCCATCTGTCCATCGGCCCCACGGGCATATGGGAGCCCTCACTGCCCAGGCAGAGGCTAGGCACAGGCCGGGTAGGAGGAGCCAAGAGACAGGAGGAGAGACCCTGTCTCAAACTGGAGATGATTTGGTCTGAGCAGAGATTCTTGTTTGTTTTTTTGAGACAGGGTCTCACGATGTCATTCAGGCTGGCCTTGAACTCACTATGTAGCCCAGGCTGGCCTGGGACTCATGGCGATCCTCCTGCCTCAGCCTCCTCAGTGCAGGTATGACAGGTGTATGCCAGCAAGCCAGGCTTCTAAGCAGAGATTCTAAATCTGGCTCCCAGGAAGTGTCCCCCGTGTGTCTCTCTGCCTGCGCCATGATATGGTGCCAAGCAAAGCCTCCTGATCCGGTGCTCCCGGGGGACTCTGGGTGAGGTCGGGGAACACTGGTGACTGTCACAACTGAAGGTGCAAGACCCTGTCTCAAAATAAAAAATAAAAAGTGCAGGAGGTGTCACTCAGTGCAAAGGCCCTGGCTTCCAGCCTCGGGATAGCAAAAAGAGAAAAGGGCACGGAGGCCTCTGTAACCAGCGGGTGGGACGGGATCTGTGCTGGGACCCTCGCAGAGGCCAAGAGAGTCTTTCCCTCTGCACCGGCCTCTCCCCACCTGCCAGTCTCCCACTGCCCACCCTCCCCTCCGCTCCCCTCCCGCGTTTATGGGCCGCTGAGCAGCTGTGAAACCCATCAGGAGCTGTGACCGGCCCCGGGAGGGTGGGAACGCGACCATGCACCTGCACCAACAGGGGCCTTGCAGCTGGGGGACGCCGCCCCACGCCCCTGCCCCTCCCAGGTCACACGCAGGGCTCTGAGCTCCTAGGCCTGGCTGACCCTGGGTCCGCCACCCATAAAGGGCACAGAAGGTTAGGTTTCGAGAAAATCTAAAGTTTATAAAGCTTCTGTAATACGGGCACCTTGTTGTAAGATATTTCGACGCCGGGTGCTATGTGCACACCTGTGATCCCAGATACTCCGGTGACTGAGCGAGACCCTGATCATACGTGGAGACAACGTGCTGCCCTGTCTCCTGGCTGTGTGCCTCTCTTTTTCCATATAGTTTCAAAATTATTGGAAAGATTGAGAAATAGCAAATGTGCCAAGGTTTATAACTCTGCCATTTGCTTTGTTCTCTGTTTCCGTCTCTGTCTCTGACTCTTGATTATTTGATGTATGTGTATACACGTATGGTGTGTGTGTATACAGGTGGTCTCCAACACATTATGGTCCAACATAATGGTTTTTCTACCATACGATGCTATAAAGGTCTAGACATTTAGTGGAAATTTTTTTTTTTTTTTTTTTTTCTTTTTGAGACAGGGTCTCGCTATGAAGTTCAGGCTGGCCTTGAGCTCACTTTGTAGCCCAGGCTGGTCTCGAACTTGCCACGATCCTCCTGCCTCAGCCTCCTGAGTGCTGGGATTACAGGTGTGCGCCACCACGCCCGGCCTTGGAAATGTATTTTGAAGCCAAGTGTGGCAGCGCATTCCTGTAATCCTAGCACTCAGGAGACTGAGGCGGGAGAATCTCTGCAAGTTCTGGGCCACACAGTGAGTTCAAGAGCAGACCGTTTCACAAAAACAAAAGCAAAACAAATGCCTTAGAAGCTCAATTTGCTGCCATCGTATTGACTAAGTGTAGGGCTCGCTCACATCCATTTATTTTTAACCATTAATGTGCTTTTGCTAGTCCGTAATCTTACCCAGGATCCCACACTTACTAAGCTGATTTCTCACCTTTTATTGGTTTGATGGAGATCTTTATATATTAAGGATGTCAACATTTTATCCTTCATACCCATGGATGGCATAGTATTTCCTGGTATGCTTTTTTCACTTGGGTGGTGACTTGGGTCTCCTAAACTCAAGCTCTTATCCTGGCATAAGATGGTGGGAAGGATGCCCAGGACGAGGCGGGAGTCCTGGATTACGGGATGAACACCAGGTGCGCAGTGCCGCCACCCAGGACGCATCCCAGCCCCCACAAGTGCTCCCCACGCTGCCCCTTCCCACCGCCTCCCGACCTCCCCTCTTCCTCAGCTGCTGGGGAGCAGCCGCATGTCACCCGGTGACCGTCTCGCCGTCGGTCCGTGAAGCCAGGCCAACCTCGGCGGAGCCCGTGCCTCATCCCGTCGGTGCAGCCCTGACCCTGAGGCTCTGAGTGACTGGCCCGGGGTCCGGGGGCGGCCGTGTGAGGTGGGGAAGGCGTGTCACGCGGTCCCCGCCCTCGGCGCCATCACATAAGTAGGGTGCAGGAGAACTGGTCCCCATGGAACGGTGTGCAGAGCCGCACGGTGGCCAGCACTTGGGGTGCAACTCTGCTGCCATCTTCGGTGAGCACTGGGCATCCCCAGCGGCCCCCACATCCCCCCACATCCCGCTCTGTGGCTCAGGCGGGGCCTCGCGCCCTGCAGCTTGAGAATCACAGGCTCAGCCACTGCCCCCCACCCAGTCCTCCTGGGCTGTTTCACAGGAGAGAACCGGCTGTCACCTCACTCTCACCTGGGCCAGACCATTTTCTGTCCTGAAGGAACTGTGGGGCGGGGCAGGCGCTGTTAGGACAGGGGGACGTGGGCTTTTCTGCACTGCTGGGGCCGCATCGTCCCCCTGGCCTGACGGGACCCGAGCAAAGGATGAGGGACAGAGGCTGAGCTTCAGGGCCGCCCCGCATGTGTCCCTTCCTCCCTCCCAGGAGGGGCAGAAAGGAAGAGGCGGTCGCCGGTGCCTGGGGCTGGGATCGGCCCCCTCAGCCGCCCGTGGGTCCCTGCATCCGCTCCACTCCGTGGGCCCTGGGTGCGGGGGAGTCTGGCGGGGCTGAGGGGGACAGGACAAGGGCGCTGGGGCTGAGGGGGCCGGGAGAGGCAGGAAGGACCCAGCCTCCAGCCTCCGGAGGGCGCAGGGCCCTGCGTAGATCCTGACCCCAGACTTCCGGGCTCCTGGACAGAGAGGAGACAAATGTCTGCGGTTTCGAGGGCCACCCCACCCCTCTTAGGGGCACTTGGTGGCAACAGCCCCAGCACCCTCAGAGTCACCAAGAAGTGCAGTGATCACGCCTGTCATTTGCATGCACAGCAGAAACGCACCTGCCTGTGGGGACACAGACCCTCCACCTCCTCGCCGCCTGCTCCCGGCGGACTCCCCGCCCCACTGCGGTTTGACCTCCTGTGCCCCAGGATGGTGACTGGCAGGCAGAGCGCTGGGCCCCGGTGGCTGGCGGCCGTCCCCGCTGCCCCCACCTCGTTACGGTGAACACGTGCAGCGCGAAGCGGGGGAAACCGCCTGTGTGCCAGCCCTGTCCTCGTGCCACCCTGTGACCTCAGCCGTGCACCTGCCCCCCTCCCCCCGGGAAGAGTCAGGCTGGTCCAGGGGCGTGCCACCCACCTGCCCGCCGCGGTGCCTCTGAGCTGGGGACGCAGGGACCCCGGCAGGGCCGGCCTGGCTGGGCGTGGCCCCCGCTGGGCGTGGCTGTGACATTTCTGAGCAGCTGAGCCACGCGGGCTGCAGGAGGTGCCCCAGGCCTGGCCCTGTGTGGGCCGGAGCAGGAGCGGAGCGGGGACGCGGGGACCCTCGGTGCCGGGCTGCGGGAAGTGATTTGCATTCCTGGGATGTTTTTCCGTTGAACCCTCGCTCCGCCTCCTGGCCATTTCCTGACTTCTCCCGGACTAGGACTCTGGCTGAGGGCCAGGCCTGTGGTTTTCCATGCGGGAGGTCAGGCTGGGACCCCAAGCCTCACGGCCTGGAAGGCCCCAAGACCAGGGTTCGAGGCCCTGCTTTGCTCCCTCCCGGCTGTGTGGCCCCCGAGTCCTGGGGCACAAGGTTTCCCCGCCCAGACGCACGAGGCTGGGATTCTTGGCTGAGGGGCTCCTGGCCCAGAGTGCATAAGCTCAGCACCTTGCAGTGCCCGGGACGCCCCCAAGAGCGCCCAGCCCCGGTGCCCACAGTGCCTGCGGAGGAGCCGGGGGCACAGGTGAATTCCGCCGGGTCCCGCAGGCCGGGTCGTGACGATGCTCTGGCCATTAACCACAAGCAGTCTTGGGCGTGCACGGCCCACAGCTCCCCCCGCCCCCGCCCAGGAGCCCGCTGCACATGGCTGGAGCGCAGCGCTGCGAGGACTTGTGTATACTGTGAGTCACCCTCCAAAGCTGTGGAGGAAGCATTCAGGGATGGATTCAAATAGAAAAATATAGTATGGTGGTGCACACCTGTTATCCCAGCACTCTAGGAGGCTGAGGCAGGAGGATCGAAAGTTCAAGCCCAGCCTGGACAACTCAGGGACTTAGTGAGACCCTGTCTCAAAATAAAAAGTAAAAACAGCCCCGCAACACACCCAGAATAACATCTGATCCGACACAGAGAGCCTCCCCCCAGCCATGGCAGCTGTGTCCCCTGACAGATGCCACCCCTCGTCATGCCCCGGTGGCATAGCCGTCCAGATGGTAGAGGGCCTAGAGTAGGAGTGGGGTCCAGGCCGGGATCCAGATGCGGGCGAGGGTGGCAGCGACGTTCCAGGCAGATCGGTGTCGGGGCCTCACAGGGGGGTTGAGCAAAGACGGTGAGCCCAGCAGGTGTTAGTTAGGGCCCGGAGGCACGGCTCGGACTCGTGCAGTAGCCAGGTCTGTGCCGTGCCGGCCTCCTCTGTCTGCCCACCTTTTTGTTTGTTTGTTTAAGACAGGATATCGATATGGCCCCAAACTCCCGGTGCTCCTCAGCCTCCCGCGAGCTGGGATTACCCGCTGGGTCACATTTAGAACATCCCGGTTTAGCAGACGCTCGGGGAAGCTCTGGTTGCTGCTATGTCCTCTTTGCGGGAACCTGAGAGGGTCCCCAGCCGACAGCCAGCAGGGACACGAGGGTCCCGGCCCTGCAGCCCCAGGGAGGTGAGGTCTCACCGACCCGTGGGAGGCCTGGGCCCCGGAGGAGATCCAGAGTACGACATGACCCGCTGCCCTGTGGCCTCTCTGCTCGGCCCCCAGGTGGTCTTTGTCCCCGTCCTGCTGATGAAATTCCAAGATTTAGTCAAGCTCTGTGGCAGGAGGGCCCCTGTGACGGACGCATAGGGAAAGAATTACAACCAACTCCACTTCCCAGCTCCCGGCCCTCCAGATGTGTGAGGACCCCACAGCTGCAGAGCCTGCCCGAGGCAGGCCTGTCCTCCCCGGCTCAGCACGTGACCCCCGCGGCTCGCAGCCCAGCAGGTTCCCAGCCCGCCCCAGCCGGGGGCGGAGGGCTCAGCAGCGAGGTCAGGGCGTGCGGGTCCTTGTCACTGCCTCGGCTGCATGCCGGCAAGTCACGTTGTCGGCACTGTCACCGTCACCCGAGGGCGCCTGGCCGCCGCCACCACGAGCTGGGAAACTTGGTCGCAGGGCCCCACGGCCCCGAGACCTTGGCTGCAGGAGCTGGTGTGTGTGTGACGACGTGTATCTACGCGTCGGCGTGTGCACGTCCAAGGCCGGATCCCACTTCTGCCGTGTCCGCAGCCTGGCTTTCAGGCTGGGCCCCAGAGGATGGTCCTTTTTATTTTTTATTTTGAGACGGAGCCTCGCTAAAGTGCTAAGTTGTCCTGGCTCGGCTAGAACCTGAGATCCTCCTGCCTCAGCCACCCAAAGTGCTGGGATGACAGGCATACACCACTGCGCCCAACTAAAAGGAATAAATTTTTTTTAAAAAAGGTGAGAAAGGAGGGAGTGCAAAGCCCTACCTGCAGCCGCGGGACTCCTGCTGCTCCTCCTAAGGATGTGCATGTGCCGCTGGCCGTGCTGTCAGGATCAATGGCATGGTGGCCAGGGGCAGGTACTGTACCCCGCCCGGCAATGCAGAAGGACCCCAAACCAGGCTCCCATGTGAGAATGATGCGCCCGCGCCAGGTGCCCTCAGCTCCACGGGTTACAGAACCCGAGCAACAGCTGGTCTCCAACTCCGGTGTCCGTCACACTCACGCCGCGCCTTTCCGTTCCCTTTCACGCTGTGTGTACTGTTGCACAAGACGAGTGAGTGTAAATAGTCCCCATTTAGACCGTTCCCTGCAGGGGACACAGAGAGACGTGTTGAGGGACACACAGCTGTGAGGAGATGGGACCCAGGCGGGACCCCGCATCTTCCAGTAGCTCCCCACCCTCCCTGTCCCCTATTAGAGCAGACCTTGGTTCTGTGGCCACGTGACACTTGGGAAGAAAGGAGCCATCTTCCCTTTGACCAGCATAATCCTGCCCAGAATGTCGCATGTGAGGATGGGCAGCACCTCACCCTTTTCACTACTCCATAATATTCCACTGAGGCTAAGGTTCCAGGCTTTGTGGAGCTGTGTTGCAGCAACTTTCTAAAACTAATTGCCTTGGCCCACCTGGTGGTTGGCAGGAGTTATACCAGTTTAAAACCCCACCAGCAGCTGGGTGTGGTAGTGCAAGCCTATAATCGCAGCACTTGGGAAGGCTGAGGCAGGAGGATCACAAATTCAAGCTCAGCCTGAGCAATTTAGTGACTTAGCAAGACCCTGTCTCGAAATTTAATAAAATTGATTTGGGGACTGGAGATAGAGCTCAGTGCAAAGGCCCTGGCCCCAGGACCACAAAACATCAAGCAATCAATCAAACCCCACTGGCAGGAATGTCCAGGACAGGTAACATCGGGAAGCAGATTAGCAGATGGCAGGGGATGAGGCTGCCTGCTCGTGGGGACAGAGTTTCTTTCAGGGGTGGTGGAAGTCCTGGAATGAATCGTGGTGACGGTTGCATCGCTCTGTGTGGACGCAGAAGTCTGGGTCCTGCACTTCAAAAGGGTCGAGCTTGTGGGCGGCAAAGTCATCTCAGACAGCTGCTCCCTCTCCCAGGCGCAGGGGGCGCTCCTGTGCAGACACACAGCACAGTGCCCCCGGCCCCGGGCTGAGCTCTGAGGGAACACAGGCTGTGCTGGACGCTCTTCGGCCCCCTGTAATGGACAAACACTCTTCTTCAGCAGAGATTTACTGGTGCCAGGCTCAGTGGCGATTGCTTGTCATCCCAGCTCCTCAGGAGGCTGAGGCAGGAGGATCCCAAGTTCAAGGCCAGCCTGGGCAACTTAACATCTTAGGGAGACTCTGTCTCAAAAAATTAAAAATGAACACAAGGCAGACCTGTAGACAAGCGATTATCCCCATGGTGCTAGCTCCCCTTTCATTGCCTGCCCCCAGCTCCATACCCAGATATCACCTGAGTTTCTTCCTGTGAGTGTTTTTCCACGTCACTGCACTGGCCGCACGGGGCTGAGAGGTTCCAGCCCTGCTGCTCCGGGGCGGGGCGGGTGGGTATGGATGCCAGCAGTTCCACTGAAAAGCCAAGCTCACAACCGATGTGGTCGCTGAGAGCTTCCAAGAAGTGAGCTTGGTAACCCTTGAGCAGGGTGTGGAGGTGTGATCCTGCCCCCAGGGACGTGGGCCTTGGCTGGGGACACGTGTGGCCACAGAGCAGGTGGAGGCCGGGGACGCTGCTCAGCACCCGCAGCACCCAGGACACCCCGTGGAGCGCGCCGGGCCTGTGTCCCCAGTGCTCAGAGCCACCCTGGTTCCTTCAGTGTCCCCACAGGTGCATGGCAGAGCTGCCTGTCATGGCCGGGCCGCTGCCTGAACCCTCTACTGCTCCGGGTCTTGATGGATGCACTGTAGATGCCCCTGGGCGGCTCCCTGCGGGATTTTAAACAGACCCCTGCTCTTTGCTATTCTCCACCAGCCCCTGGGAGGGCAAAGGCCAGCGAAAGCGGAAGTGGCCACAAAATGCCAGCTCTCTGAGAAGGTCTCGAGCTTCACTTCTCAGAAAGACGGGCCCCAGCAGGCGGGCTCACGGCCTCTGCCCGCGTGGGTTGCAAGGAAATCTAGAGGATCCGGGGGCCTCTCACTTGCACACACACATGCATACACACACGTCCCCACCCTGTCCTGCACACGGCCAAGTAAACAGGGGTCTGGAATTTTCCTCCTTTTCATCTAAGAGGGAGCAAAAAAGAGTAGGGAGCTCCAGGTATAGTGGTCATCTCAGCACTCTGGGAGGCTGAGGCAGGAGGATTGCCGGTTCAAGCCCAGAGACCTTCTCTCAAAAAATAAAAAGGGCTGGGGTGTAGCTCAGTGGTAGAGCACCCCCAGGTTTGATCCCCAGTGCCAGCAAAACAGGAGTCAGAAACCACTTGAAGAGTCCACAGCAGGCTGCTGATGAAGGAGGTAAAATGAGGGTCTATAAAGTGCCACATACAGGCAGGAAATTCATGTCACAGTGAGGTAACCTGGATGGGACCCCAGCACAGTACACACATGCTAGCGACATCCAGCTGAAGCAGGCAGCTTCTCTTTTGGGAGGAGGATGGAAGGTAGATCCCAGGGCTTCTACACCGAGCTGCATTCACAACCTGTTTTAATTTCAAACCACAGTCTCACCACGTGGCTCAGCCTGGGCTGCAATTTGGCAGTCCTCCTGCCTCAGCCTCGAGAGTGCTGGGGTGACAGGTGTGCACCCCCATGCCTGGCTGAGGTTTGGAGCTTAATACCTTCACTAGGAAATTGGGTCCTGCCAGTCTCGGCGCGCATTGCCGTATTTCTCTGGCCGAGTCTGGGACATCAGCTGTGAGAGCTCCTGGCCGGGAGCAGTTGGGGCCAGGGCCGCTGCTGAGCAGTCTGCAGAGTGCAGGACGCCGCCAGCGCGCCCAGCCCCAGTGTGCCCGGTGCTGGAGAAGGGGGACCCCAGGCCACCCCAGCCCTGTCTTCCTGTGCTGAGGCTGAGCCCCCACTGGCCCCTGGCCTCTTTGGCCTCTGCTGCCAGCTGAGGCCCGGGGCTGTCCGGAAAGCACCGGGCCAGGCGCGGCCACCTTTTGTGTTGCTGGAAAAACCCTGTCCATTTGTGGAACAGCAAACATTTGCAAAGGAAGAGGGGCTGGGCCACTCGTGGACACCACGGGGACCTCCAGGCCACCGGGAAGCAGGCAGGGCCACGTGAGCTGCGCAGGAAGCTGGCGGGGCCGGGCCACACTGACCTCAGGGGCGGTGTCACCACTTTCATCAGCGGGAGCGCAGAGGGGACCCAGGCAGGAGGCCTCTGCTGCCCTCGAGCCTGTCTGTCCAAAACGAGGAGGCCTCGCCGGCCTTGCTCACGACCTGCGGCTGGGGGTGGGAGAGGGGTTCAGCCCCAGGCCCCACACACCCGGCTTCCTGGCTCCTGCCCGGCTCCTGAGCCCCATTGGGATCGGCAGGCCGGCCTCGCGGCCTCTGCCCCTTACCTGTCACCCTCGCCTCCGGGGGTTAATGGCTTTGCCCGACTTCGCAGTTTCTACCTCTCCCGTGGCCCCAGAACATGGCCGACAGAGAAGTAGAAAGCAGAGATGGAAAAGCACCCAGATGTGACCGGGGAAGGCGCAGTTCCGGAGTATTTTGTTTTTCTTCTGCTGGAACGGGCCGATGCTGTGGGCTCTGAGCGTGGGTTAGGGGCCCAGAGCCTGAAGTGGAATAATACAAGTTTTAGAAGAAAACTTAGCCTTTCTTTCCCCATTCTGGGGGGAAACAAGCAAAGCCAATATTTGGAATGGAGCGATTGTAAAGAATAAGATCAAGACCGAATGTGGTGGCGCGCACCTGTAATCACCTGTAATCTCAGCAATCAGGAGGCTGAGACAGGAGGGTTAGTTTGAGGGCAGCCTGGGCTATATAGTGAGTCCAAGGCCAGCCTGCACTACCAAGCAAAACCCTGTCTCAAATAAACAAACAAACAAATAAATAAAATCAAGCCAGGTGTGGTGGCGCATGCCTGTCATTCCAGCACTCTGGAAGGCAGAAGGATCAAAAGTTTGAGCCTAGTCTTGGGCAATTTAGTAAAACCTATTTGAGAATTTAAAACTATAAATGCATTTCAGTGTGAAGGCCCTGGGTTAAATTACCAGTATTAAAAAGAAGAATCAAGTTGATTCTCCCACATTCCTCACATGTTAAAAGGCAGCTAAAACTAGGACTGTGTGTCTGAGTAGTAATACTGATTTGACTCCATCTTTCTCTCTCGCTCTCTTTTTTTTTTTTTTTAACAATAGGATATAAAGCCGTGCTTCCTGGGAAAACAAGTAAAGGTATGTTGCATTTTTTTTCTTCCACGAGCTTAACTTCCTTTGTTTTGTTGTAGAAAAAAAGGAAAAAAACAAGCTACAGTATTTTTATTTTTCTGATGCTGGGAGGGAGCCCAGGGCCTCGCACATGCTAGGAAAGGGTTCCCCTGGAGCCACACCCCAGCCCAAGCCCAGGTATTTCACGTGCTCGTGGCACATGGGGAGGTTGTGTCCCCCAAAACAAGCTCAGGGCTCAAAACTCAGGTGAAATCTCAACCTGTGTACCAGCTCCAGCTTTGTGGGGGAGGGAATCCCTGTCACCGCCCACGACGAACATCAGGCTTTCCACTTGGGAAGAGTGCTGCAAAGATGAAGCCAGACTATAACAGTCAACAAAAAAAATGTTGAACCAGTGTGGGGATGCATGCCTATAATCCCAGCACTTGGGAGGCTGAGGCAGGAGGATTGCTAGGATCTCAGGCCAGCCTGGGCTACATAGTGAGTTCAAGGCCAGCCTGGACTACGCAGGAAGGCCCTGTCTCAAAAATCCAATGAGAGGAAAAATACACACAGCCCCACACCTAACATCTAAGTTTGTATCTAACATAGTAATTTGTGTATTTCTAGAAATTTCTGTCTATTTCATGTGAGCCGTGAGTGTGGAACTTGCTTGGTAAAGTTGTTCACAGCATTCTGTTATAACCCTTCTGATTTCTGTAGAGTCGAAAGCAATGTTTCCGTTTCATCTCTGACTTTAGGTTTCTGTAACTTATCATCTTTTGGGGTTTTTTTTAATCAGTCTAGCTAAAGGTTATGAACCTTTTCAAAGAACCAACTTTTGGTTTCTTGTTTTTCTATTCTCTATTCCATGTCATCTCCGTTCTCATCTTCACGGTTTCCTTCCCTTTGGTGTCCGGGTTTCGGTTGCCTGCCCCTCTCGGGTTCCTGCTGGGTCCTCTTCGGTCTGGCTGTGAGGTCTTCCCGCCCTCTCCCTGGAGACACCCTGCCCCTTGGGACCCGCTCGCTTTAGGTTTAGCTGTGTTTTCGTTTCTTGGGCTCAGTATTTCCTCACTTCCCTTGTGATTTCTTGGCCCCCGCTGGTTGTTTAAATGCTGCTTAATCTCTGCACATCTCCTAATGGACTTGGGAAGGAAAAAGGAATCCAGCAGGCTACTAGCCAGGCACAGTGGCACACACCTGGCACCCCAGCACTCCAGGATGCTGAGGCAGGAGAACTGAAAACTGGAGCCCAGCCTGGACAGCTTAGCGAATCAGCAAGACCCTGCCTCCGAGTGAAAAATAGAAAAGGGCTGGGGTGGAGCTCGGTGTGAAGGTCCTGGGGTCCATCCCCGGTACCACAGAAACAGGGTAGGCTTCTACCCCAGGTCGTCACTTCCTGCAGGGCTAGGCGGCAGGGGGTCGGGGCAGGTTTTGGGGTGGGGAGCCCGTCCTTGATCGGACTCACGTCTCCTCCCCTCCCCTCGCTGACCAGCAGCTGCAGCCAGCGGTGCTGAGTGTAGCACTGCAGGGGACACTGAGGTCCAAGGACACGTGGATTGACCAGCCTGGCTGCGTCATCTAGGGCTGGCAGGGTCCTGAACAGCGGGCCTGGGAGGACTGGCACAGGAAGTTCCCACCCGCCCCCCGTGCTAGCTTCCTGAGCTCCCCAGAACAAAACTAGCGGGTGCTTACAACAATAGGCATGAGCCAGGTGTGGTGGTGCACGCCTGTCATCCCAACACTTGGGAAGCTGAGACAGGAGGATCACCATGAGTTTGAGGCCAGGCTGAACTACATAGAGAGACCTTGTCTCAAAAAAAAAAAAAAAAAAAAAAACCTTCCCAGCCCTGTTAGATTCTATCTTTAATTTTTTTATGGGGAGCAGGGTCTTGCTATACAGTCCAGGCTGGCCTTGAACTCACTGTGTAGCCCAGGATGGCCTCAAACTTGCAGCAATCTTCCTGCCTCAGCCTATCTTTAATTAAAAAAAAAAAAAAAAAAAAAAATCCTGGGCTGGGGATGTAGCTCAGCAGCACACATACCTGCTTGGCAAGCACAGGGTCCTGAGTTCAATTCCCAATAGCCCCCCCCCAAGAAACCACCTTGTTCTTTCATTTATTTATTTATTTATTTTTTGGTACCAGGAATAGAACTCATGACCTCGCACTCGCCAGGCAGGCTCTTGTGCTTCTGAGCTATATCCCTGCCCTGTTCTTTCATTTTAAATGGCTATTTTGCATTAATTTGGGGGTTTTGTTTTGTGGTACCCAAGGCCTTCACACTGATCTACATCCCTGGCTCTTTATACTTATATTTAAATTTTGAGACAGGGTCTCCCTCAGTTGCTCGGGTTAGGTTCCAACTTTCCATCCTCCTGCCTCTGCCTCCCAGAGAACTGGGATCACAGGGCTGTCCACCTCTCCAGAATAACTGTGCACAAAAATAGGCTTTCTAGATGACAGGGCTGACAGTCATCCCCCAAGTCTGGGTGCCGAGAAGCTGCAGGCCTCTTCCTCCCCCCAGCGCCGCCCCACACACCTGGGTGGAGGACAGCTGCAAAGACAGGAAAGGTTTAAAACTCAGCCACACAGCTGACTGCCATCCGCCGTGCTCGTCCTGATCTTCTTAATTTCTCCGGGATGAATAGGCCCCGCCCATCTCCTGCCCTGAGAGCAGAGCAGCAATTGCGGGGTCCCCGAGGTCCCCAGCCCGGCCCTCCAGGATGCGTACATGTTGTTGCTTATCGATGCCCGGGCCACAGAGGGGGCGGCGCCCCGCAGCTGCACTCAGGCGTCCCCCATGCTGGGCTGGGCTGCAGGGTGCGTGGCTGCTTGCGGGGGATTAGGTGCCCCCCCTCCGTCACACCTGCCTGAAAAGCCCTGACGATGACATCAACCAGCTGCAGCCGGGCTGTGTCTAAGCCCTCTGACCCGGCCCCCATGCCACCCCCGCTGTCCTGGCTGTCAGGACACCGCCCGCCTCCCGTCTGTGTCCCCACCACCTCCTCCACCCCACCCCAGGGCACCTCAGCAAACAGTCCCTGGGTTCATCCTGTGGCCCAGGCCCTGCTACTCTCCCTGGATTCATTCTCCCAGGAGCCCCAGGAAGCATATTTCATTATCCCCCTTTTACAGGTGGGGAAACTGAGGCTCTACCCTGAAAAGACAGCGCAGGGGTGGGGCTGGATTTGAGCTCTTGGCTCTTTAGTCACAGGGCATCCGGTGTCCTTAGGCTGCTCCAGCCATCTGCCCTCTGGCGAGGCCCCCAGAGCCCTCAGGACCCCTGGCCAGGGTTAGTCCCAGCAGTGGGAGCTGGGTGAGAAGTGGGAGGGGGCGGTGTGCTTCAAAAAGTGAGGAGGAACCTCCACCCAGGTGTGTGGCCAGGACTCACACAGCCCTAAGGGGGAGAAGCAGGTGTCCCTGGGAGTGAATAGACACACACACACACACACACACACACACACACACACACAGCACAGTTCTCCCATGCAGGGGACTACTATACAGCCTTTAAAAGGAAGAAAATTCAGGCTGTGCATGGTGGCGCATGCCTGTCATCCCAGCTATCTAGGAGGCTGAGGCAGGAGGATCACAAGTTGAAGGCCAGTCTGGGCAACTTAGCAACTTACCAACACCTTGTCTCAAAATACAAAGCAGAAAGGGCTGGGGATAGAGCTCTGTGCAAAGGCCCTGGGTTCCACCCTCAGTACAAAGGAATAAAGAAAGAAGAAGGGGAGGGAGGGAGAAAGAGTGGCCCTTTGCTCCCTTGCAGGCACCATGGCTGAACCAAAAGGAGGCACTGGCCAGGCCTGGTCACTCTGGGCCATGGCTGAGTTCCTGAAGCCTCAAGCGCATGCGGAGACCCCAGCTCCGTGTGCCATTTGCCACAGCAGCCCAAGGGGCTTGAGATACCCGGGGTCCCTGGCCTTGGGGGCCCCCTCGAAAGCCTCCTCCTTTCAGCCAGTGAAGGTCAGAGGCGGGAGGGGGCCAGGGAGCACGTGCTGTCCCCGAAGCTCCCGGGAGCCCCAGAAGCCCGCGAGGCCCCGCCCTGCACGTGCCCAGGGCTGCCCGCTGCGTGGGCTCCTCCTGCAGCCCGGCGCAGCCCACAGGGCGCTGAGCATGGAGCACCCAAGGCCTGCGTGCTGTCCTCCCTTCTCTGTGACAGCCACAGGCGACCTCTGTGCTTTCCGAGCCGACCCAGACTCCGCTGTGTTTCCACATTAGCAAGAAGGGCGTCATGGAATTTGGACGGGTTTGAAAAGGGGACCTCGGCGTGCGCTGGGCCACACGCTCTGTCACGCTGTCAGAGATCCTGCGACGGCCATCAGAACTCATCTCGGGCAGAGGCCACAGGGAGCCCAGGCGGACGCACTCAGAAGTGGCGTGTACAGGGCACCGGCTAATGCTGGGCACAGGGGCTGGAGGAGTGGTGGTTGTGGGGACCCCCTTTGACAGAAGTTCTCTGGGAAGAAGCAGAATGTCACAGGTGACTTCAGTATGACCACGGCCGGGCGCTCTTTTTTTTTCATTTTTTAAGTGCTGGGAATGGAGCCCAGGGCCTTGCACATACCTGGCAAACACTGTCTTTTTTTTCTTTTTTTTTGAGACAGGGACTTGCTGCATTGCTAGGTTGCCCAGTCTGGGCTCAACTTTGAGATCCCCCTGCCTCAGCCTCCCAAGCCCAAGCCTACTGTGCGGGGCTGCAGCTGTTGAGCCAGGTCTGAGGGCCCAGCCTGCAGGCTGTGTGCCCTGGGCAGGCCATTGCTTGCTGCAGGGAGGACGAGAGGGTGCACGTGCCTGTGAGCAGCACTGAATGCTGCTGACTCCACGAGGGGCCAGGAGCTCTGTGCCCGGCTGCCTGGTCCCCACAGAAGAGGTTTGGTGCTGAGAACAGGGCCACCCTGGAAGCAGTACCTCAGTAAACGCAGCCCTGCAGCCACCAGCCTTGCTGTCCAGGCCTCCAGCTCCAGGGACACACTGGGGTCAGCAGATTAACAGCCACAAAGGATTCAAACCCCGCCCAGC